TGCCGCCCCCGTGGAACACAGACCGGTAGTCGTAGCGGCAGTGGGGATCCCCCTCCACGTCAAACTTCCCGAAGGTCAGCTCCACCACCTGTGGGGCACGGTCAGCCCCACACACAGAGCCTTAGCCCCACCCCCCCATAGCCTTAGCTCCGCCCCAGCCTCCCCTAGAGTCTCAGCCCGTCCCACTCCAAGCTCCACTCACAGAACCATAGCCCTGCCCCAGACCCATAAAGCCACCCACACAGAACACTGGCACCACCCTAACGGAGCCTCTCCCCTCCCCCGAGCCTGGTCCTCCTCAAGCTTCAGCCCCACCATTCCCCTTCACACAGCCCCAGCTCTGCCCCATGGAGTCTCAACCCCCCCCAGCCCCACCCTTCTTCAGCCCCAGCCCCATGACCCACTGCCCCTACCTGGCCTGGGGGGGCGATGATGTGCCAGGAGCAGCTGATGCCAGCTGGGTAGTTGCTCTCAGGCCAGTTTGGGGTCTTGAGACTGCCCTGAGGCTTCTCCAGCTTCCCCCCACAGAACTGATGCTCTGCAAGACACGGTGGGGAGGGGCTCAGCAAGGCAGTGATCCAGGATCCAGGCCTGGGGGGGGTCCCAGAGTCTCTGCTTGCTCAACCTGCCACCCCAGGATGGGCACCCCTGTAAAGCTAAGGGCTGGCGTGCCAGCATATTGGGGAGTGCAAAGAGGTGAATGTGCATGGCAAGTGTGCGAGAGAGGGCAGAGAAATCGGCATGTGCAGTAAGCGTGCCAATGACTTTGAGTGTGAACTTGTGTGACAAAGTGAGGATTGGATCTGCCTTGTTATGTTGCATGTGATTTCTACTGTCCCATGGTAACCCCTTGTATGTGGCTCAGTTTGCCCAGGGCACTGCACCAGTACCTAGATGGGGATGGGAATTTCAGTGTGACAGCTTCCCACCTATACACAATGGCTGGGGACAGCCTTTTCCCCAGGCAGCAGGACAAAGGTTGAGGAGGGGGCCTGGAACCACCCAGGCTCTGAGCTCCTCCTCCCCAGGATGGATGGTGCTGGCTGCTTCTGGTTCCTGTGCTGACAAATCCACTCTAAGATGTACCTGTCACCTGATAAACCTTCTGTTCTACCTGCTGGCTGAGAGTCACGTCTGGCTGCAGGGGGGGTGCAGGGCCCAGTGACCTCCCATGCCTCAGTGATGGCTTGGAAGAATGCAGATGTGCTACACAGGAAAGTGTGCAAATGAATGAGCATGTGCATGAGTTATGCAAGCATATAGGGGAGTGCACAAGGAAATGTGAAAATGAGCATGCAAAACTGGCATATGTAGGTGAAAGGTACGTGACTGCTGTGCACAGCTATATGTGAGTGGGCACAGAAAAGTTTGCAAATAAGCATAAGAGGGACTGCATAAGATACACGAGTATGCACATGCATCCACGTGTACAATGACAGTGGAATAGTGCATCCAACAGGCACATGGGAGAATGGTGCATTCTCTGCTTGTGAGCGCAGGCCAGGACTTTGAGGCAAGAAAGCTGTATAAAGGTGCAATGCTCAGGGGGAGATGTGCAAATCCCACTAAGGGTGCAAGGCAATGCCCGTGCAGCCCTCATGATGCCTGAGCAACCTCTGCTGGCATGCACTATAGTGCAAACTAGGGATGTAATAGAGCAGTCAATTAACTGTTTAAGCTTATCGGTTAAAGCTATAGACGAGTGTTTCTCAATTTTCAGACACAATTTTTTTCTACCATTGCAACACATTTGTTTAAACAACTTAATTGTAGCCAGGCGAGCAATGAAATTTTTGGGTGTAAAAAGTACAAAAATAATAAAATGCTGTAAAACTTATAACAAAAATTCAGTTTTCTTCAAATTTCAGTTGGGTTAATGTACCCCCCATACTTCTCTCAAGTACCCCTAAGCGTACTCGTACAACTGGTTGAGAAACATTGCTATAGACTACACGCATTCCCCCCCGGCCTTGTCAGTACATTTTTTAGCAGGCTGGCCAGCAGCCCGACTCAGTCCTGGCTTGCACCAGGTCTGGGACCTACCCCTGCTGCAGTTCTGCATTTAAAGTGTGTTGGGAGTTGGGGCGCAAGCAGCCCAACTCAGGTCCAGGAGCTCAGACAACCCCTAGCCAGACGGGCTGCTGCCATCCTACTCTGCTGCCTCTTTTTCAGGGGTGACAGACAGCTGGAGCAACCGGCAGCCAGGCCATGGGGGGGGATCTGGTTTTTTAACTGGCTCTCCTCACAAACCAGCTTTCACCTGGCTCCCCACAGATGCAGCAGCACAGAGTGGCAGGGGGCTCCTCAGGGGTAGGACCGGATTGCACTGCCTTGGCCCCACCCCCAAGGACTATAGAATAGTCCTTTAAGAATGAATGAGGTTAATCAACTATTCAATTAACTGATATTTAACATCCCTAGCACAAACCTCTTCCCGCCTCTATAATGGGGCACAGAAGTATGCAACCCTCCAGTATATGCAGGTGGACAACTGTGCACCTCGCAGTGTGCACACTTCAGCCTGAATGTGCAAGGGTGCAGCTTCTCCACGCAGTAGTGCAAACCTTCACGAGTGAGCATGCAAATGGCTTGTGCATGTGCAAACCCCTGTCTGAACGTGCAGTGTCTCACGCTGCTGCTGGTGAGCGTGCAAACCACCAGTGAGCGTGCAAACTTGCTCATGTGCAAATAATGGGTGTGAGCTCCACCCCACACTCACTTGTGGCTAGGCCAGGCAACCTTAGCCAGCTCTGCTCTCCCCGGCTCAACCCTGCCCCCAACATGCACCAGCCCTCTTTGGGTGCAATCAGCTCTGGGGAGGCGCAGTGGTAAAGGGGCCCATGATCCACACATCCCGATGCAGCTGGAGTTGCCCTGTCTGCGCCTGTGTTTGCTTAGCACATGACTTTGGGGGCAGTGCTCTGGGGGGAGGGGAACGTGCGGGACGAAGAGCAGCAGCATGGGGCGGCGGAAGGGCAGCGGCCTCGGAAATGGGGGATGGGGGAACTGGACTTTTGCAAACCAGCAATTTCCCGGCGGCTGGCCGGCGCCACACTGGGTAATTACAGGTTGTGGGGCGAGTGGGGGAGAGGGGAGGAGAGACGGGTGGGTGGCAGCGCCAGGGCAAAAGCAGGCAGTGGGGGTGGGAGGAAATCTCACTCTGTCCAGCAGCCAAGCTCCCCCTCCCCGCAGACCCTCCATCGGCTTCTACCGGACACAGCAATGGGTCGGCGATGCAGGGGTCAGATCCCAGGGTGGGGCAAAGGGGCTGGGGCAAAGGGCTGCTGGTTGGGGGTGCACAGAATGGGGGGGAAGCCCCCTGTTCCACTCCAGTCTGTGCTTCCAGCATCCTCTCTGCCCTGGCGCCAGCGCAGAGGCAGTGTGGGACACACGCCCCTTTGTCCCAGGCCGGGATCCGACCACAATGGCGCCCCCGGGGGGCCGGCCCGCGGCTTTCCCCCTAAGCCTGAGGGGCTGTGTATGCCTCCCACCTGCGGAGGGCGCCATTGCTGGTGTGGGGAGAGCCCAGGCAGCTGGATACTCACCGTCCCAATAATCCCAGGGCTCCCAGGCCCACCGGGAGTCTATATGGTTGGGGTCCCACCTCCGCCTTCCGCGCGGCCGGCCTGCAAAAGGTCCCGCAGGTTGGGATGCATGGGGGGAGCCTCTGTGGGGGCTGTGCAAGGTGGAGGCATGGGGACAGAGGACCTGGCACCTGGGGGGAGGGGTGGCATAAGGGCTGGGGAGCAGAGGTGGAGGTTCCCCAGCGCCCTCTCTGCCCTGGTGTCAGTGCAGGGCATTGTGGGTAATATATTCCTGGTCCCCTGGCATCAGACAGGGCATTGTGGATAATGCACTCCCATTCCCTGACATTGATGCAGGGCATTGTGGGTATTGCACCCCCAGCATGCCCTGGTGGTACAAACATCCCTGCAGCCATGGGGGCCCCTCTGCAGCCAGCCCCCCCTGGGGGAGCATGTGGCCCCTCCAGCCTGAGGAGGTGTCCGTGGATCCCTCACCATTGACGTGGGGGAGGCCGGCACTGAACCAGACCAGGAACCCGCGGCCCCCGGTGCCCTCGTCCGTCACCATCTGCAGCATCATGCGGTTCCCGGTGGAGAGCAGCGCGCCAGGGCGGAAGGTGCCACAGAAACGGCCCAGGCGCTGGGCACTTGCTGAGTGCCCGTTGTACACATCCAGATAGTCGTAGCGGCAGCCCGGGTCTGGCTCCAGGTCAAACACCCGGAAGGAGAGCATGACCACCTGGCCCTCTGGCACCTGGGTGAGAGGCGGGGTTAGTGGGGCACTGGTGGGGAGGCACTGGGAGGTAGACAGAGGGTGTGGGGCACAATGGGAGAATACTGGCAGGGTGAGGGCAGTGGGGGCAGGCAGAGGGTTTGGGGTATGCTGGGGGGAGGCTGGTAGGGTGGTGCTGGGGAGCAGACTGGAGGATAGGGGGAGGGGGCACTGGAGGGCAAGCCAAGGGGCTGAAACAGGCAGTGGTTGGGGGTCACTGGTGGGGCAGCCAGGAGCACCTGGCTGTGGGGAGTAAGGGAACAGCAGGGAAGTGGATGAGGCTGGGGGACACGAAGGGGGAGGGGAGAAGGCTGGGGGCATTGCTGGGGGATGTGGAAGGAGAGGACTATGTTAGGACTCAGGGTCCTCCTGCTTTCACCCCCATATCACCGTGCTCTCCACCCCAACCTCCTGATCTTCCTGCATCCGTCCCCTGGTGCCTAAGCCCCCCCCATACCGTGATGGTCCAGGTGCAGGTCTTGCCGGGGGGGTAGTGATTGGGGAAACCCTCGCTGGCGATGAACCCGGAGTCGCCCACGTGCTCCCCGCCGCACAGGAACACGGGCCTGAGAGATCCCAACAGACAGCATCACTCGGAGACTCCTTGCTCCTGAACCACAGCCCCTGCCAGCCCAGCCCTGTCTGTGCCCTTCACTCCTGACCCACAATCCCTGCCATCCACAATCCCTGCTCTCCACTGTGGTGAGGGAGGATCCTGTGTCTGTTTGTCCTGGCCAGGGTGCTGGGACATAGGCCAGGCTGGGGGTGGGGAACCAGTCCTGCCTCATGTGGCCTCCAGACACACTAGAGAGCAACCTAACGCCCCAACCCCCCACTGTCTGCCTACTAGGGCTGAGACAGATGCTCCTGGTCCTCCCTATGGGATGAGACAGTCCCCCCTCACCACCAAGCTCACAACACAATCCACACCCCCAGGTATGGGTCCCCAGCCTGGTGCACGTGTGTGCGACTGGAGAGCACGGCCCACTACAGCGCCTAGGCCCCCACTCCTCTCACCACAGGGAAGAGAACCCTGGTGTGAAAAACAAGAACATGGGTTGGGGAGAGGCCAGGAGGCACAGTGGTGATATGAGACAAGGCCCCAAGAAGTGGGATGTCTGGTGCCACATGGGTGAGGGAACCGGCTCTGTCCACGTGTCTGGCTCTGTCTGGCCTCTGGCCCCCAGGTTTGGTGACTGTAAAAATTTGGTTTACGCCTCCGCACGCCTATCCCTGGGGTCCTGGCCTGGCCCTCCTCCCCTCAGCTGCTCCCCCACAAGAGAATTCAGAGAATCCAGAGAACTTGGCTCATCCCGGGTCTCTGGCAGCATCAGCGCCACACGGCTAAACCCTTCCAGATGTGCTGGGGACTGGTGCGGCCGGCTCCCCAGCCCTGCCGGTGCCCCTCACTCCTGACCCACAGCCCCTGCCAGCCCAGCCCTGGGCTCCCCCACCCCTGCTGGTGCCCCTCACTCTGGACCCACAGCCCCTGCTAGCCCAGCTCAGTGATCGGTGGGACAGGAGGGGCTGGGGGACAGGGATCCCTTGGGCTGGGAGAGGGGGGCAGCGGTACCTGGTGACAGTGGGGGCGGGAGCCGGGTCGCTCTGCCCCATGGCGCA